TACCTATTCGCTTCACGATTATAAAATCCGTTCATCTATAGTTGGTGTGACTTAGGTAGGTATGTTTTAAAATGTGCAGTGTGCTTATTTATATAATAGAATAAAATATTTTACTTTCAAAACACAAATCTATTGGATATAATAATATATCGATAAACTATAAATTACAACAATATAATCACAATTTTAATAATGTCATGATATACCAACAATTCATAAAATATATTACAATACTGAAGAGTGAAGGTCCCTTTAAGTTTATTTTATTTTTGTATAGAAATGTCAGAATTTAAAACTCACTGCGTTTAGTGAGGAATGCGCAGTATATAATAATATAATATGGGTAGGTTCTGGCGTTACTGGGTATAATGCGACAGAGACCCAACCTATAGTTATTGTTATGTATTTCTCGGAAAAAAGGACCACCTGTTTAGTACAATAACCTTCTACCCAGCAGTATTTATTTTATGGCTTTTAATGTTTTTCTGAAACGTGTCCTGTATTTACCTCGGATTTGGATGAGACCGGAGCCAACAACAATGCCAGTGGATAAAGATTAAAATATATATAGGTATCGGATACTTCGTAGCACACGAAACCGTCTTCAGACAATTTTCACGTCTTTTATTGAGACGGTTATAATAATATATGTCAAGAAATATAAAATACAATACATATGATATACCATATACATAATATATGTATATGTATATATGTACATTATAGTATTATACATGGAACACGTGGTATCTCACCCGTCACCGTTTTGTCCCCTACATGTTCGCCTGTTACCAGACATTCCGATCCTCAATACACCATGTGCAGTGGCAAGAACACGGAAATGTTTAATGCAGGGGTTCCCAACCTATTTTACTCAACGGTGCATTTAATCTTATAAAACATTTTCACAGAACTCACAAAGAAATAAATTCATATTATTTCGACGATAAAAACAAGTAAATAATGACAGTTAATACCTTATCATTCGCTCATTCCGCATAAATCCAAAATATAAATAATTTATCTGCCTATTTACGTATACCTACGTGTATAACTTTTAAATTTAAACTTTTATCACTTAATTCTTACACAAGCTATACAAGGTATACAAACAACACATATACAACAAAAATTATAGGCACAGTGTTTGGGGGACCTCTGATTTAATGGGGCAGGATACGAGAACATGAAATAATCAATCAATGTCAATGTCAATGTCAATCAATGTCATGTTTTGTTTCACCAACAAAAAAAAAAAAAATTCAAAATAATTTCATAGACCTAAACGAATAGTAAATATGGCTAAACAATATTTTAATATAATATTATAAGTTTAAAATATTTTTATTATAAAAGTAAATTTAGCCTGAATGTTTATATTAGCATTTTCTATACATAATAAAATTATTATGATTTATTTTGAACTTTGTAGGGACATTTTTAATTTACAATTTTATTAGTTTTTAGATTCTGGGTGGAACGATAAATGTATTCATTTTACAATGATGTGTGTTTTTATTTTTTTTTACTTTTTAATTTTATTTTTTTTGTGTCGGTCATCACGGTTTGGGGTAGTAAAACTGCTTCGATTTTCTTCAACGGTATCCTGTTCGATGGGAAAGTGAATCTAGTTGGTACATTGGGGAAGTAAAATTAAAAATTCTCAATATTTTTGAAAAGCGCAGGGAAAAACAAAACAACAATTAAGGAAAACGGTAAATTTTACAGTTTTCGACAAAACCAATTTTGGTTTTTGGCATGTACCATAGATATG